TTCCAAGCATTATGTCCTTCTCAAAGGACTGGTCTCTCCTGGCTAGATGCCCAAAGTATGTCAAATGGAGCTTCAAAATCCTTGCCTCCAAGAAGCAACTTAGTTTCACCCTCTGCAAGACAGATTGGTTTGCTCTCTTGGCACTTCAACATGCTTCTCTAGCACCACAACTCAAAGGCAGAGATTCTTCTCCTGTCATCCTTAGTCATTGTCCAGCTCTCCGAGACATAGCAAACAACTAAGAAAACCATAACTTGAATCCAGTGCACCTTATTGTCTAGACTGACATCGTTGTTCTTTAGCAGTCTGGAGAGGTCCCTGGCAGCAAATTTTCCTAATGCAATTAATCTTTTGATTTCCTGGATGCTTGGTGTGTAGTCAAGCAAGTTGATATTGTTAGCAACCTCAATCTCTTCTCGGCCTATCATGGTGCAGCCAGTCCACCCAGTGGTGAGAATCTTTGACTTCCTGATGTTGAGTTTCAGTCCATTTTAAAGACTACAGTCCTGGACGTTCTGCATCAAATGCTTCAGGTCCTCCTCAGTTTCAGCAATTTTTTTTTAAAGATTGTGTCATCTACGTTATACAACCTCAAAAAACCAGCTGAAGGGTCTGCAATGAGTGATCCTAGCTTGGGGCAATGACGGTTAGTTTGTGTATATAGGAAATGCTCTTCAATGGCTGATAATACCTCTTATTGAGAGACAATTATATGTTGTATAATCTCTGATAAAGTATTCAGTACCACACATAAAGGAATCTCACAGTGGCCTCAATTTGACCAAATCTATACCTTCAATCATTGGTTTAATAGAAAACAGAGAAGGAAATATGCTAAATAAGCACAATAAGCTCTAGATATCAGAAACTTCTGCAGGAAAAAGGACTCTTTCAGTAGAAAAATTGCAAAAATAAAGAACCTCTTAACAATCATACTAGTAATATGTTGGACTATTTGGATAATGATTCAAAGAACAAGTAAAACAATTATAAAACAATTATAAAACAATTGGGGATATATGAATTGGGTATCTGATGATAACAAAGGATATTATGGTTGTTGTTTTTATATGTAATAATTTTATTGTAGATCCACTTCCTAAACAATATGCCTCTGGAAACTCTACAAACTTTGATAAATGACAGTAGTTAATAGGGTAACTATCACTATGAGTCATGCTTGACTCGATGGCAATCAACAACAACCACCACAACAAACTGAAAAGGAATCCTTGTATTTCTCCCCAACTATATCACTATTTATTAAGAAATATCCTGAATTTTTAATACTAACTCTGAAATCTTTAATCCATTGACTTCTGTAAGCCAACACTAATTGGCCATCATTTATTTCTAATATAGGATTCCTTTCACCCTGTTACTAAATTCTC